TTACACGTGCTTCAGAACGCGGTCACGCAGGGGCGTTCCCAAAGCGAATCTCAACGCAGCTCGAGTTTAACTGACTGAACTGACTGTAGCATTGTTTTTCAGATAAACAAGTATGTTAACTTAGCATGTTTCTTAAAACATATTATGAATATGTAAATGGGAACAGGCATTCAGTTGTATTACAGTATGTGACAGTTCAGAGAGTAGAACAGATCTGAAGTGCCAAAACTTGTCTGAACGCAAACTCGACGTCATGATGTCATAAATATGCTAATTAATACGTGACATCACCCGCCGCCACAAGTCTCACAAAATCCTGTGGGAAGCACTGAACACTGTTTCAAATGCTTCCCTACGGTGACGTCACAGTAGGAGTAGGAGTAAGCCTACTTCTAGTACTTCTAGTTCTCCCCGCTGTGTGTGTCTGTCATCCTCCATTCAGCGTTCAAACTGTCGCGTTCGGTTAATACAGTAAAAACAATGAAACTCTCTTCAAGAGCACACAATAACTGAGATTTAAAACTGTGAAAATAAAAGGCTCAATAAAATATCGCACAGATATAATACACTGCGCATCAATATCTCTTCCCTTTTTTATGAGGAGCACTGCGCGCTGTGTCTCCGTGTTGCTTCAAGCGCATACTTTTTCCATTTGTTATTTTCATTAAAATGAAGTTGTCTATATTTAGCAGATTGTGTTTAACACGCACAAGAGTGATGATCAGGGCCCTTATTCACAAAACATCTCAAGGATAAAATATTAAAAATAATGGGCGTGTCAGTCCTAAATATAGGACTCCTAAATTTTTGCTCTAAGAGTATTTCACAAAGCGTTTTAGCACTAAAACTAGCTCCTAAATCTGTGAAACGTTAGGAGAAGAGGACTCCTAAGTCACTAAGTCACTCCTAAAACCAAGTCACAACTATCCTAAAATGGCTGTTGGCGGCAATCTGCCTCGGAATATAAACATTATAGAAACATTTGATGATAATGACCTTTTAAAAATGTATCACCTTTGGGTTTGGAGGTTATCCCAACTCCACATTTTCCTTTAATTATATCCTTTTCATTAACCAGTTGGGCAAGAAGTACAAGCTGTTCTTGCATCCAGTTTGGTTTTCTTTTACGTTTGCATGTCTTACTATCAGCCATGATTATGCTACTCTGTTAATTAAAAGGGTGTTTATATGCATATCCGCGACGAGAAGCATACATGCAAGAGGCTGACAATTAGCTGAACATAATCTTGTTTAATTAGTGACACTTAGCCTGCATTTTAAAATCTTTATTTGAATGTGTCAATTAACATTTTATTTTTAAACATTTATTTGAATATGGCAACATAATATTGCGCTCTACAATATTTCTATAAATCTCTGACAGAGACCCCTCCCCTATCAGCCAATCACTGTGTGCATAGTTAGTAAGCATGCTGACATCATCCATAGCAA